TTTTGATGGCGTCGCCCGGACTCGAACCGGAGACCTTCAGTGTGTTAGACTGACGTGATAACCAACTACACCACGACACCTTTAATAGCTAGCTGTAATTACATTTTTATTAAATAAGTAATATAATAGCTTCTACATAATTTAAGAGCATCTCGCCTGTCCCACTTTCTTCGAAACCCTCGGCACCCCCTTCTCGATCACATCTCGTAACCTCTCCCCTCCCCTACTCACTTTCTTCTATTTCCTCAGCCGCCGCCCCGTACTCGATCTATCGGAGATGTCGAGCGCCCTGGACATGTCCCTCGACGACATCATCAAGAACAACAAGAAGTCCACCCCCGGGGGCCGCGGGCGCGGCCGTGGATCTGGCGCCGGACCTGCCCGACGCGTTCCCAATCGGTCGGCGAACCGATCCGCCCCCTATTCAGTCGCAAAGGTACGCTTTATGGTTCCGTAGACCCGGCGATCTTTGATCTTCGCCGGTCAGGTCGAAACGTGTCCTCTGATTTTAGGGTTTCCCGCTTTGATCTTCGATTCAGGCTCCCGATTCGGCGTGGCAGCATGACAAGTACGCCGCTCAGACGGGTGCGCTCCCTGCTCCTGCTGGTAGGGCTTCCTCCATAGAGACCGGCACCAAGCTCTATATTTCCAACTTGGAATATGGGGTTTCGAATGAAGATATCAAGGTGATATTCGTATTCTTGTTGTTTGTCCTTTCTGATCTGATATTTTTGTTGGTGGATCTGAATCTTGATATCTTGTCTTCAGATTGTCAAAGTTGTTTTGTTGAATGCCCGACGAGCTTCATGTTTTTGCCTATGATTCGTTTTTGTGCACTCTTTCTTTTCTTGCAAGATATGTGGATCTGTTGTTCTATCACATAAATTACGTGGATTGGATTTTCTGGTGCTATGATCCGGACATTTTTCAGACCAGCTCAAACATTCATGTGAGTATTAAGAGGGAATACCTTCTCAGAACCTAACATATGGTAGCTTGTAGGGTTAGACAGAACAAGAGACGAGGTTTATGAAAAATGGTTATAGCATCTGGATACCCAAAAAAAAAGAGAGAAAGAATTGTTCCTTTTATTATCTCAGGGTGCTTGAATTATTGAGTCACTGTTTGGTAGCCTAGATCCTGTTTTCTGAATTTTGTGAACCATTATCCATTGAAAAACTGCTAGTTAAGTTTCTTGATCTTTACTGGAAATTTCAGGCTTCACGTTTTTACGAAACAAGTAGGCTTCTCGAATTTGTAAAGAAATGTTCTTTTTGTAAAGCAAGAATTATGGCAGAAAAATGATAATCAAGAAATGATGGTAAAACATTGGATGTGTTTGTTTGTCTAAAATATTTTCTGTGTATTTCACTGGAATTCTGACATCTTTCTTGTAGATGAATGTACGTTTGTTTCTATGTATCATGTTTATTTAAGGTTTCATTTTACAGAAAAACAAATATTGGTGCAATTTGTAAGATACATGCATGTGTGAGTTTGGATACTTGTTCAAATTTCATATAGGAAGAAAATTCTTTTCTCTACTTTTTCCTATATTCCAATTCTTGGATTTCTGCATATGCTCATGTTGTTTTTGCATTTGTTTAAGTTGTTATGTTTTATTTGTTCCAGGAGCTTTTTTCAGAGGTTGGTGATCTGAAGCGCTATTCAATAAATTATGACCGAAGTGGAAGATCTAAGGTATTTCTTCAGCTTGACTGAGGTTCTTGGGTTTCAACATAGTTGTCTTCATCTCATTCTTGGAAAAAAAAAAAAATCAAGGGAACGGCTGAAGTTGTCTTTTCGAGGCGGGCAGATGCTTTAGCAGCGGTTAAGAGATACAACAATGTGCTGCTTGATGGAAAACCAATGAAAATAGAAGTTATCGGAACGAACATTTCAACACCGGCTGCTATCCCTCAATCTGTCTTTGGAAACTTTAATGGCTCTTCCAAAAGGTCTGTTTTCTTGCTTCATGAGATGCCAGATTTAATCTGTCTATTGTTTGTTTGAATATGGTGTTTGAAAGATGACTAAGTTTGTGATTGTTCATATTTTTACATATATATTCTTGGACTATAAGATTGATCAAGGTAAAAAAAAAAGGATTGATCAAGGTATTTGAGATGTGTACATACTTGACTGCATCTGCCTATTATCATCTTTCTGTTACCCAGCATTTTATGATTATGGCTCATTATATCCATTGTTTCCAAAGTTAAAACTTTTTGGACATATATGTTTCATAAAGTAGAGTTATTTTTACAAAGGGTTCTGAGTCTTGTCTCAGATGTAATATTGCCTTGATGTACATTTGTTAAGATCAACACTTGATGCTGAAGATTCTTTTGAAGAATGGGAAAAGTATAAGATATTCCTGGTATAGGTCAGGTCCAATCCTCAAGAAAAGGTGAGATTTGACTAGGTTCCACTTGAATTGCATATTTTGGGGTTGGATATCAATTAGCACTTCTTCTGTGAATTATGGTGGTCACAATGGAGGAAGCACGAAAGAGAAGCCTACATAACCTAGGTACTCGTGGGGGTGGCAACATAAACAGCACATGGAAAATTCGGTAAAGGTTTCAAGAGAAATGTAGAGGATAGAAGGGTGCGTATGAAGAACTTTGGGGAAGAAGTTGGTAGATACTTGGAGAGATAATATGATACAGAGAGATATTGGTTCATCAAAGATGTTCTTTCATTAGGTCCATTTTACAGATGGATGTTCGTTGTTGCCATGTGCTATAGAATTAAATAACAGTATTTTCCATTTACTTTGGACTCTTGACCAATTGAGTAAAATGTATTTTTACATCTCAGGCTGAATCATCTCCTTTAGAAACTTCAAGCTAACATATTAGGGGCAATTGTGTGGTGATAATGATATACTTCCATCTATCTTATACTCAAAATCATTGTTGAAATCATATCCTGTAAGAATATTACAATCATACCTGAAACCATTTTGAACATAGAACACCATTTTTGGAATAACCGATCATGTTGATACCAACTACTAACAGTGACAAAAAAACGTCAGTTCTCCAGAAAAAAAGACGAAGTTTTTGTTTTTTATTTCTCTGCATGTATATTAGGTAATGTTTATTATACCTAACTGTATAATTTGTTTTCTTGCCTTCAATGAATCCAACACCCAGTTGATATGTTGTAGTTTGACTGATTTATATCACAATGCTTTACTAACAGATTCTAATTATCTTTTTAGAGATCATGTGCTTGTTTCATAGATTTTTTTTTCACACACCTAGCTGTTCCATTCAATTCTTAAATGAAACAACACAAATAACTTAGTTAGCTTAACATTTCTGCCATGTTTCAATTAACATGAGTCTTCTTAACTTGCTTTTGAATTGCAGCACTGGACCAGGAAGGGGTTCTACAGGGCCACAAGGTGGTGGCCGTGGAAGAGGGAGAGGCCGTGGTCGAGGCAAAGGCCGCGGTGAACCAGTTTCTGCTGACGCACTTGATGCTGATTTGGATAAGTACCATGCAGAAGCAATGCAAACCAACTGAACACTTCTAGCTGGCTTCTTTGGTTTACAATCGCTTGCTTGATGCTGCTCAATACTTTTACTGTTCTTCAAGCATGCATATTGTAGGAATTGAAGATGATACTGTTAAAGCACTTACTCGGTTTTGGGGCTTTCATTTTCATATTGTTATTGCTTTATGACTTCTACTTGCTACTGAGGTTAAAGACATAAAGTGAACATCTGGTGTCTGTTCTTAGCAGTCATTCATTTGGTTGGTCAAGCTTCTTTCTCTTTACTTTATATTTGCGGCTCAATGTCGTTGTTATACAAACTGGTAGAGCTGGACTTTCCATGGAGAACCTGCATGATAAGTATTTTTGCAGCCATAAGCTGGGCAGCCTGCATCACATGAAGGTATGTAATCTGATTAAATTTGCAATTTGATTTCGTAGATGCTGAATAAACAAATCTTTTGTTGTTTCTGAACATACTGAATGTTGTTACATTGATTCTTTGGATAGGTGGGCCCTGTGAATCCTCCATTTGTAAGAAAGCTTTCCCCTTCAACGTACTTGGAGTTCATTTAAGCTATCTGGTCATTTGTGGTGTGTGGTTTCTTTGTTCAACCGAAGACCATGTGCTGCACTTGTGTTTCAATTTGATAGTCCTTTAGTCAGTGTTAATACTATGATGATACATGGTACTGATTGGGTTCTGTGGAAGTATCAGTTAAGAGAAGCTTGCTGCTTGTGGAATTGCATCAGTTTGGGATGCCACAGAAACATGTTTTCATGACTGACTATATTCTTCTAGGTGTCTAGTGTCGATGTAGTATCGGCTCCAAATTTTTTTGATGGAAATATAGGTGATGCTAAAGGATGGTTAGTTTTTGGGTGGCCCTGGATTCGGGATGGAGTGAGTTGTTGGTCACATAATTGGTGTGTTTCTCAAGGATGTTCATCAATTCACTACCATGCTGGAAAGAGGGGAGTGAAGGGAGTATTCATGGCTGATGTTCTTCCAACTGGAAATCCATCATGGCCTGGTAAATGGTCAACCCTGCTCAAAGTAGATATCATTTTTCTGGTTGGAACTTTTGCAGCTCAAAGTGTTATGGAATACGAAGTATTCCTTATAATTTTATGTCCTAGTAACTTGAAAGGATTATCAAAGTGTGGATTTATTTTATAACCAAACTTGGAAACGGAGAATATAGAAAAAGACCTTGACCGTGTGGAGATGTCTATACGCCATCAGATTTAGCTGCAGAAGGTTCTAATGGATTGCAGACCTGCTACTTGGGCCTTTCATCATGCCTAATATTTTTGTGCATGAACTGGTCTAACTTGGCACCTCAGTGCTTCTACTTGCATCACACTGCTGAAGTTCTACACAATTCTTCCCAGATGTTTTGTAGCTTTTGTTAGCAGTGTTACATTTTTCTATTTAGTTAGGCAATTAGCCGGCAAGAAGATGGTCATGGTCATGTTAGCTAAAGGGCTTTGTTGAAGTCATGCTTTTTTAAGGCAGATGACATAATACTCTATGATGCTTGGCAATTCTGCAGAATCAGCTTGTCTGGTAAGTTATTTTTGCACTTTTTGGTGATATAGTTTTTGCAAAATATCTTCCTATTTCGATCTGCATGCATGTTGTTGGCTTTGTTGTGCATGTTGACATTCTATCTCGACTATATTGAGTGCATGCTGTCGAGCGGCATGCTGTTGGCTTTGTTGTGCATGTTGACATTCTATCTCGACTATATTGAGTGCATGCTGTCGAGCGGCATGGATTGATTTTGACATGTTGAAACTTAAAGATGTGTCAGTATTCAGGACAGGCGAGGCTTTTTGTTTTGCTTTTTTTTTTTTTTTGTTGCATTGACATTCACTTTTGCCTGCGGCTAAATTCTGGTCATGTCAGCCCATTAGAATTGGTGCCTTGTATCGTGTGTTGATCTGGTTTTCTTTTTAACCATATAGCTTGCATGATGTCTGCAATGTGTCTTTTGATGGTTTTATAGCCATATGCTGTCTCTTTGCATTTCATGATCGGCAACATATGGAACTTGGGTTTTCACAGAGAATGGGACCTAGTTTGGATCCACATATGATGCATAATACTTAGAAGGTGGACGTGGGAGGTGTATATGTCGATCCAGTGATTTGTGTGAATTATATGATACAAAAAAACCCATACTCTTGTAGGCAAATCTTTTGGGGTTGAACTATTGAATTGTTTGCATTCACTTGTTAATTCTGCATCTTAAATTTCTTTAACAAGTTCGTATGATATTTCGGATCACGCTAACTGTTACGACAAATCCACAAATATTATGCTGTTAGTAAAATCACTGGAGTCGGTGTACGTACCCGAGGTTCCTCTTGGCTGCGTTGTCCTCATATCTGCCGCATGGGATGTGGCGTGATGTGATGCATGGGATGATGCGTTCGGGTGGGGAATTTAAGACAGAACAGGAGATCGGTGACATTAATCGAGTGTTGAATTGAAATAATCTGAACAGCTAGAGTATATAATTGCCGAGGATAAAACCATGTATCTGCACTTGTATTAAACATAGATCATTTCATTGCAAGTTTTGTGGACAAGATCATGAACCGAATATATATACCGAAGCATCATTAATAGATGGTGATAACCCTGCCCAGCATACAAATTGATTGTTTATACCGACAACAACAATAAAGTGATAATATCTCAATTATTTGTGGTCAATACATGGATCTGTTGTTGCCGTCATTGACGTCTATAAGGGCGCTCGTATCTTAGTTAAAGTGTCTAATATTTGTGTTTATTATTTTTATTCGTGTACGTCTGCTCATCCTGACCATGCCATCGTGCAAATAGATCTCAAAAAGCAGCTTAAAATTGGTACCAATTATTCGCCCTATCTTGGGATCTGTAGAACTCCTATTATGTTACTGGTATGTGATTATATTTAACCGTGCGGTTAACATGTAATGCTATCTTTCATCGTTCTTTTCAGAGGCACAGCACACGTAATGGGAGAGAGAGAGAGAGAGAGATTGATTGCTGCAACTTAAAATTCCGTCTGCTATAGTGCCGCTGGACTTCCGTCTTTACGAGGATCGCTGACCGCAATTAGCCGCCCGTGGAAGACACCGCCGCCGTTCTTCGCTTTCCTATCTGTTTTCCGCTGCATGTTCGGCACCCGCTCGTGAAGGTTGTGTACGACAAGCTGGGAGACAGCACCCAATGATAGACTGCGGAGAACGTGACCCCTCTGCTCCAGAAACAGCTTCGCCTCGTTTGCAAACTCAATGTGCTCCCCGTCGATCGCTGTGAAGTTCTCGTAGAGCACCTCGTTTGGAATGAGCTGCGGTGTAGAGATCATTAGACCCAAACAATTTCAGGAGAAGTTTGAACCATAAGCTAATGTACAGATTATTAAGAGAATATTCATGTGATTGATAGAGAGTTGATGACATATAGGGTTTGACCTATAACTTAAACAATCTGAAGCTTTCTGAGTTGTATTGATGTTTAATTTCATATATGCTAGCCTTGATTAGCTTAACTCAAGTTTGTCATCGTTCATTTTGAAAATCTAGATCTTAACGGCCATCGGTTCTCAAAAGAATGAGTCGAAATTAAATAAAAAATAAAAAAAGTTTGTTGTTGATTATAGCCGATTTATGTTTGAGAGACCGAAAGATGACTAAAGAATACCCATACATTGTTAAGCATAAAATATTAAAAGAATCAAGATGGTAAGATGACGCTCATATCCTAATCCTGTGTTCAAAATATAACAGGCCTAAACCACTCATGTTAACCCGGATCAATTTGATTTAAACTTATCATCATTGATTACACTAATCTATACTTTTGATCACCCCATTCTGAAATTGTTGGCTTATAAATGTGATTCAGGTTAGATGCATATTCTATATAAGCAAGGAAAAAAAACGACTATATAAGCAATGCTTTGTTGGCCAGCAGAAATGTTGTAAGGAGCAGAAAGAATAACCGTGTGGAAGACCCTCGGATGCTGAACAGCTTTTAGTGGCTCCATCCTCAGTATGAAGTGGTTCAGGAAAACCTGCACAACTGCCGGAATTATATTAACTCCACCACTGGCCCCAACAACTCCGGCAAGCTGATCGTCCTGAACACAAAACAGCCACCACACTCGATTTCAGTAAGTTGCATAGTACAATTGAACTTTGCACAAGTTTTCATCAAGATAATAATAATGTATCATATATTTTAGCAGAGCATTACTGCTTAATCCGCTAAGTCTTCCTCAGTAGAAGTCATCAATGTATAGCAGCAGTGCACCAAAGGGTTGCCACCACAGAATCATCCTCACCTTTAGGATAATGATAGGTGTCATAGAAGACAATGGTCTCTTTTTTGGCTCGATAAAATTTGCTGGTGCCGGAGGAAGGCGATCGGGAGTAGCTTCCGTCGGCGTCGAGAAGTCATCCATCTCATTGTTCAGCACAATGCCTGTTGATGGCGACATCACCCGAGCCCCAAAATACCAATTCACTGTGGTCGTCAGAGACACCGCATTCCGATCAGAATCCACCACGCACAAATGGCTCGTTCCATGGTCTCTCAACTGGCTCCATCTGAAAACATGCAATAAACTGAGCCAAAGCAGTCTGTTTCTTGCTAACACAACCATGTTTAAGTATACTGAGATTATAAGGAAAGGAGGATGTGGTGGACATGTATGTTTAGACCTGCATGGGATTTGTTTCAGATGAACTCCAAACAAATATTTCAATGACTCAAACTGATGCATTATTAACCTATTCATTTGAATCATGATCAATGTAGTACACCAATCAAGTCCTGATTCAAATCTTTATCATTTATTTCAATAATTATTGTCTTTAACTCCGATGCAACACGAAGAAAAAGAATTAACACAAAAAAAAAAAAAAAATCACCTTGCCAGATAGTAGGATGGGTCAAATGTGGTACTGTCGTCGATCTTCTGTTGAAGTGTCTGAGCAAAACTTGACGAAAGCATGTCGGAGACGTATTCCTCGACGTCAACAAAATCAGGATCCCCGAGATTCATCCTCACGCCAAACATGTGCTTTAGTGCTTCGATAAGCCGGTGGAGACCGAGCAAGCCTTCCACACCATCTGATGATGAATTGTAGCTCCCTAAAATGTTGAGAACCTATTTGTCATCATCAAAGAGCTGCCCAAATCAAAAATTGCCATTTGGAACTCAAATGCAAAAAAGGGTCACTCGCTCACTCACCAAAGACATCCCCACCGTGCCACTGGAAGGTGGGGGCATACCCAGTATAGTATACCCCATGGCGTTGGCTACCATGGCTTTTGTGACCTTGACCCTGTACTCCTTCAAATCCTCCATCGTTGCAACCCCACCAGCATTTCTCACATCCTCGATGAACCTTTCACCGATGCTCCCATCGTAGAACGCCTGCGGTCCCTCGGTTGATATCACCTCCAATGCATTGGCGAGTGCAGGATTGTAGCAAGTGTCATTTGTCTGCAGCAATCTCCCATTGGGTGCTAGCACCGCCCGCAACCCAGGGTCTGCAAGTACATCCTCCTCCTTTGTCCTGATGGCATCTGCAAGATAAGGCACGACGAGGAATCCATCTCTTGCGAGGGTTATGGATGGTCGCAAGAGATCCTTCCAGGGAAGCCTTCCGTACTTCAACCAAGCTGTGTGGAGGCCTGCAAGCTCTCCTGGGATTCCCATCGAGAGTGCACCCTTGGACTTGGATGATGGATCATTCTCGTACATGTTCTGTTCAGATTGCAAACCGTGAGATGGTGATCGATTTCCGTGCTGATCACGATGATGCACGCTGTGCTACTTGATGGTTTGTGACAGCTTGCTGGCATAGACTTTGAAAAGCATTTATTTGTACATAAACTATGCAGAGACAGCGTTTGATCAAACAGGGAAGTGGGAACATGAAATGAAATGTGCAAAAGAAAATGTTGATGTGGATATGAGATCAGCAGATGCATGAATAGAAAAGGCAACACAAAGAGTATGACTCGATATAAACTGGGAAATTGCACATTATTTTCTGGGTTTTTACTGTGACACTAATCTAAAGAGGGAGGGCTGCTTACGAGGCATCGCATGCATCATGGTTTGCTTTAAGATTCGGGATGTTTGGAACCGCTTAGCTTAGTTGGGTCCTGTCATTTTTACGATATTGACACCATCAGCTTTTCCGCACGACTCTGAAAGCCCAGTCGACGTCACGCACGATTGCTTTCTCTCATTTTCACAAGTCTCCCCCCATCAGCTTCATCATCTTCTATGCACGCATCTCGATGCACGAGTTGAAGTGGACGTCACCCGCACCGCACAACAAAGAGGCCAATAAAGGGTGGGTGAGCTTCGTCTGTGTGGGCCAAGGTGGGGCCGGGTCTCCATCAAGTCCTGTGCTGCCGACCAATTGCATCCACCATCATCGTTATTACCCACTTACATCCAGTGAAGCCGTAACACGTAATAGCGTGAAAGCCAACCTCTACGATGCGTTTTGTCTCGTCCGTATAATTTACGAAACAAATGTAACTAATAATAAGCTGATGATGACGAGTGCACCAGTAAGACGCACAAAAGCGCTACGTCCAAAAGCACCAATAACTCATCCGTGGGTTTAATATTGGCCGTAGGATGGAAGGCAAAAATGGATGAGACACGAAAACAACAAGAGACGAGAGAGGCCTAACCTTCGACGCCGCGATGGGGGCCGTCTCGCGGGAATCAATGGCCACGGCCTCACCGGAATCTGCCGATCGGACCACCATGAATGCGCCGCCACCGATCCCGCTTGACACCGGGTGCACCACCCCGAGGCACAGCGCGGCCGCCACGGCCGCGTCGACCGCGTGGCCACCGGCCCGCAGTGCGGCCGCCCCGACCTCCGAGCACCGCCAGTCGTCCGCCGCCACCACCCCCACCTCCGATTCCACTTCCTCCGGGCTCCCCGTCATCCCCCGCCGTTCCCGCCCAATCTTCTCCGCCCGGTCGTGGCCGCCGGGGCCGACGACCACCACGACGAGGAAGATACCCAAGGCTGCAAGAAACCAGAAAAGGCCAGCTCGCTTCAAGTAACACGACGATAGAGTAAGAGGAGCAATGTCGGAGCCGTTACCGATGAGGGCTCCGAAACTGGCGGCGTACCACCAGATCCGCCGCCGGGAGGCGGCACGACGACCGAGGAGGGAGGACCCGAGGTCATCAGGAGTCGCCATGAAACGAGGGCGCCGCGCGTGGAGGAGAGCGGAGGGAGATTCTGTCTGCCGTGGATTCCTCTCCCCCTGAAATCTGACACCGGGGAGGCGAATATGGAGTAGAGTTACTTAAGTAGCCTCGTGTCCCACTCCACTCGAATACACGGAAAAGCCAGAACGAGTTAATTGCGAGAAAAGGTGGGTTGATATTTTCTTGGTGTCGGGGCCCACGGACGCGTCGCTGTTCCCCGTACTCTCCTTGACGTGCCACCTAAGAGACGTAACAGTTGCTTCCTACGCTTTGTGACGTTCTGCGCGAAGACGAGCAAGAGCGGAGGTTCCCCTTGTGATGAGAAACGGGAAAGCGGGAAACGTGGACCTCTGTACCCGGTTTAGCTGA